CCCCTCCCCTTGGCCATTTGCAGAATGCCATGTATTCTGTGATCGGTTTAATTTTTTCCCATGGCCTCATTTCTGGTCAGATGCATTCTATTCCAGAAGCCAGAGCATGACACAGGTTAAATGTTGGTATCTACTCACCCTCAGTCAAGCCAGCATGTATGCCCCAGTAGGTTTGTAGACACAGAAGCTCTTTCTTCATTCCTCTCCGACAGCGGCACATGTACAGGGCACTCTCCTGTAGAACCTCCAGAGCAGTTTTACACTCCAGACTGGAGAGCAGGACATCCCGGTCCCTGCCTGCAAGGCACTGCCGCAGAGTCCTGTATCTGGAGCTGCACGACGGGTCATTGATGCACAGCTCATTAGCCTGGATACAGTCTGTGTGTTGGGGCCAGGAGCCAGATGGGGACCCAGAGAGGAGGAGGCTGGTGTGAGCTGTATAGAGAACAGTGGATATTTAGGATCAGTACATCAGACTAAAGCCCGCAAGACAAAGAAAAATATCAACTATTGCTGTTCATCACAATGACTTCATATTTAGATGTCTCTAGAATGGAATTTCGCCAGCATGGAAAATGTCACCTTGTAAGCCAATAAAACAACCTTGGACAAAAAAATTATTACTTTTCTCGTTCCATTATGCAACTGCATGGTCTGTACAATGGGCCGGATAAACTATCGTCAGTGCACCAAATATTTGGCCCATGGAAACCTGTTTTTCTTCAATTTGAAGGGTTTGTGAACAAAGATGTGACTAGTGAGGCAAAGTATAAAAATATACAAAGTATAAAAATCAAAACTGCGAAAAGTCTCACAATCGACACCAAATGAACATGATTCCGGAAACTGCTTTGTTAATATTTGACACATTAGAGACACCAAGAGGACAATGGCATAGAGCAGTGGTTCTCAACCTGTGTAACCTCAGGACCCACATTTGTCTTTGGTCATTAAGTCGCACTGAAATGGAACGCTCAGCATTGCATTACCGTGTGTTCCGGGGCAGGGGATCAAACTATGGGTGGGAGGTGCGTTTGGGGAGCCATTCAAAAGATCCACCCAGTCTCCATACCTTACCAGAACTGGAGTGGATCCTCAGCCTGGGGTCCATTGTGAGTTGCTGCGACAGAGCTCCATCCATAGGTGCATTGCTTGTACAGCTCCCTTTGTGTGCCCTGTAGAGGTGCCAGGAGCCAGAATGTGACATCACTCTGGTTCAGGCACCTCTACAAGACAAGTAAGGAAGCTGTACATATATGGATGGAGCTCCCTCACGGCCAAAGCTCTAGCCCATTCCACCTCAAGCTGACACTCTGCACCGGGCTGCATATTTTGAATGGCTGTTTGGCTCAAGAACTGGCAGTGCTGCAAAAGGGGGATACTGAGGAAGGCACGCGGCGACCCACTGAACATGGGGTCGCGACCCACTTTTGGGTCACAACCCACCAGTTCAGAACCAAGTGCATAGAGGATAATGCCGTAAGGCAAGACACATTCTACTATGGGACAAATAAACTACATGCGCTGCAACATAATAGTTCATCTAACATGCAATGCACCAAAACAAGATGGCATGTGCAACAGTTCGCATTCCTCAACTACTGCCAATCTCGGTTAATCTGGCCCATTGTATTTAATAGGAAACATTGAAATTTTGCCAGCTGAGATAGAAAATCTCTAGTATGTACTTAGGTCAGGGGAGGGTGAAGGAGCTGGTACAGCACAGGCAGTAATTAGATACGCCGAGTAGAGGAGAGGGCTGGGAAGTGCAAGCAGGGAGGGGGCTGTGCTGGGGAACTGGCTCTTCCTAAAGTAGCCAAATTCGCAAGGGAATAGAAAATAATTGATGGGAATAAATTATTAAAAGCTACAATTTAAATACTTGATTGCTCTGTGCTTTCACCTGAATTTTTGGTGAGATTTGGATGTTGGCGACCTCTTTAAGATTTTTAAGTTAAACCTTTTATGGTCGGCAATTACGCTTTAAATGTTCGTAATGCTGGAGGGGTTACCTGGGCTTTCCAGTCATGTGATCTGGAGCCGACTCCACTAAACAGACCAGACGATGTTAGTGACAGCCACAGTCACAGTGATGGGGCGCCAAGTGAGCACACTCCCAACACTGGACAGTAAAGTAGGCTGTACACGCACCAAATTTCCTGTGTGGGTGCCACTGTTGGCACCCTTCAGCTGATCGAAGGAGCAGGTTGGAAAATTCTCTACTAAATGGAGCCGACAGCTAATTAGCTGAATCTATGTTTACTTTGAACACCCAAACGGCTATCACATGATTGGTTGATTGAAACCAAAACAGCTTCATCATATCACTAAGCTCTGTTAACTAGACATGTGCGATTCATTTCGTTACGTTCGAAATTTGTACGAATTTTCCTGAAATTCGTAAATTCGGAACCATCCGAAATCCGAATTGCAGTTTCCGAATTATATCCAAAATACGAAATTCCGTTAACGAATTTCGGATCCGAATTTCTTTGAAACAGGAACTAATATTACCCCTGTAAATGAGGTTGAACAACATGACAAGATTTTTTTTTTAATCCGAAATACGGATCCGCTGCTGCTGAGAGTTGCATTACAATACACAGGCAGGAAATACGAAATTCCGTTGACGTTTTTTCGTTCCATTACGAACATTCGTTATGGTGAAGTTAAAAAGCAAAGTACATTTATATTCGAGTTGATGGTAGTTTTTTTTTTTTTTAAGTCCGAAATACGAAATTCGGATCCGGAATCCGCTAACGGAATTCGTATTTCGGATAAAAAAACAACTACCACATCGACTCCAATATTAACAAAGGTATTTTTGCTTTTTAACTTCATCATAACGAATGTTCGTAAAGTTACGAAAATGTGCCGAAACTAACGGAAATTCGTATTTCGTACGAATCCGAATTGAGTTTTGGATACGAATTACGAAATACGAAATAACGGATATTCCGAAACGGAACAAATTTTTTGACGGCGCACCTGTCTACTGTTAACATTCAAATTTGCAAAGTGAACAGTTTCAACTCCTTTAGTAAATCATCTCATAGACTTGTATTGTGAGAAAGAGCATTAAGATATAACTACTGCAGCAACACAAAGCAATGAATACAAACAAATCACATACTACACATAAGAAAGTGTAGAAACAGGCAGTCATACGATTATTTGCATCAAGTAATACAAAATACTATGCATTCCCTTTAAAAAAATTGCAATCCCTTCTAGACCTCTAACAAGATCTATGTTAGTATATCATTATCAGAAATATAAAACCCTGAAATAAACAACTACAATATAGAGATGTAATGCACAATACAGAGGAGGTTTTATGACCTCTTCTGAACCAGACAAGTGGCCCCCAAGAGATTGTCTTCCTTGCCTGCCCAAGCCCAAACTACACAGCAAACACTGGAGATTCATTTATTTCATGTTCACACACTAACATTTATTAATACCATTAGTCTTCTGTCACAATGCGTGTTTGCTTGTGTTTTTGTCTGCGTTTACTGGGCTTTTCTGGGTCAGAAGAACATAGGGTGAGTAAACAATTACAAGGTCATCGGGATTTCAGGTCTTGCTGTTGGATTCTTTTCTCTTGCAGTCTTTGTTTTTTTTGATTTTTAAGTTGGCCACACACAGCATATTCAATACAATATGAACTATTTTCAACCAGCTTTCATTCAAAAGAAACAGGTGGACGCAACCTGCTACTAGAAGTGTCATGAAACTGCCAAAAAATGTGTGGAAATTTGCCTTCATCTATTTGGTGGGTCATGTTGGAATTTGGTTACACGTGCCTCAAATTTGTCATGCGTGGTCGCCAAAGTCCTTCCCAAAAATCATGGAAACTGCTGGTATGCCCCTTATATTATCCTAAATGAAGGTTAGTAGTATCTCTACGGTACATATGCAGTCCTCCTGGCCTTCTCTAGTGGCCCTTAGGCGGCTCTTGCCGTTTTCAAAATGTAGAGCCCCTGCCTTAAGCTGGAGTGTCCCTAGCTACATTTACAGGGTTATTCACAAAAGGGTGAAGAGTTTGGAGAAGGCGGGAATGAGAAGTGAACAATCTAGGACAAAATACCGTATTTTTCGCTCCATAAGACGCACTTTTTTCCCCCCAAAAGGAGGGGGAAAATGTGCCTGCGTCTTATGGAGCGAATCCCGACGCCCGAGACATGCAGTTTTGGGCGCCGGGCGAGTAGTAGGAGCCACTGCTCGTTTAATACGAGTGATCTAATGAGATCACTCGTATTAAAGCCGAGCAGCGGCGGCGGCGATCGTATTCAGCAGTAGGAGCCACTGCTCGTTTAATACGAGTGATCTAATGAGATCACTCGTATTAAAACCGAGCAGCGGCGACGATGGAGATCACCATAGAGCAGACGAAGAACGGACTTTCTTCGTCTGCTCTGTGTGATCACTGAGACCGTGGCGCTGTAATCACAGCGCCACCTGTCTCAGCGGTCACTAACTGCAGCTTCTGTCACAGCTTCTGTCATAGAAGCTGTGTCAGAAGCTACAGTCTGTCGAGTGCTCTATAAGGCGCGCCGGACCTCCCTGCGTGCTATGGTCCGGTGCGTCTTATGGACCGCAAAATACGGTAGCTGATTTCGAAATATTCTCCAATTCATCTCACTTTCCAGTTCAGCTATGTTGTCCTAGATTGTTCACTTCTCCTGCCTTCTCCAAACTCTTCACCCTTTAGTGAATAACCCTGTTAGTGTTTTCTACTGGTAGGCTTAAACCAGTCTGAGCTTTGTGTATATTTTCTGTGCCCACTAGGTTTCTCCTATGGGGCATAAGCCTCTTTTAGGGGATTTCCCACCTATTGGCAGGTAACAGGCTTGTCATTTTGGGGCCCTTGAGGAAAAGATATAAAGTCAGGTGGTCAGAGTTTAGGCAAGAGAGTTTGGCCCAAGGAGTGGCCCGTCCCCAATAATTTGGGCTAGTCGTTGGGACTGCGCCATAACCTGTTAGCATCCTCTTGGAAGAAGATGTCCTTCCTATGGGAGAAAGAACTAGATAGGGAAGTCAGGATGGGGGATTCCTCTAAAAAAGGGACTAACTGAGCACCGGAATTAACCTTTAAAAAGGAAAATATTACTTTCCTGGTTGAGCCTTGTTATGCCGATGTGTTGGAAAAATCACTATTAACACTCGATTTACTTTGAGTTTATTCTCCTCTGAAGTAAAATGTAATTTATGTTCAACTGCACCCGGCTGGGTATTCTCCTGTGCAATGGGGCTGGGAAGTGTAATAGAAGTGCTCAATTAAATTGTGGCAAGTAATGGTCTCTGTGTGTCCAGCGTCAGTTGGCCTGATGTCCACCCTGTATTAGGAAAAGGTATATGTGGGTGCTGGACTATATGCCCAAAGGCTCTGCCTAGGTATCTTGAAAGTCCCTGTTGTTGTTAATTGGGAGAACTGAGAAAAGGCAACACTGCATG